AATATATATATATATATAATAATATATATATATATATATATATATATATATATATATATACGTGTATATGTATATATGTATATGCAAGACGTTACACCGAGTAAGCAAGAGCCTATCTTTCAAGCTATTTCTGCTCATGTGGATTTTATCGCACACCTGTTCAAAGAAATATTTGTCTCTCGACAAGAGCCTCTTCTCTTAAAATTTTTCAGTGATCGTGTAAGCGAGATTTCTTTTACCTCGAGACGCGCTTACCTCGTGTCACAGACATTTATTTATTGTGCAAAATACCATACACTATTGACTTCTCTCATACGTAAAGAGACAACTTTTTATGTAAATATATTTTTCTAAGATTTGCATTTTTCTTTCTTTAATGTGGGACTTCACTGGATGTGTTGTTCTCAAGAGATTATATAACAAAATTAATGCAATATAAATAAACAGTATTTTTACTTGTCTCTTTTTTTATATTTCTCTCTACTTCTTTCCTCTTTCTGTAATTTATCATTTCACAATCGATTACGTTGATATTGTGCTATTTTCTTTTCGGTAAAAAAAATATTATTTTTTATTTATCCGATTTATTCCGGCGTAATTCTAAAAAAGAAATTTCACTCTCGTGCCAACCAAATGCAAAGAATTTCTAATTCTGTGGACGAGTACTTGCACAGGACGATTCGCAAGAAATATAAACAGTCAACGGAAACATTCGAAAGGAATTTATTTAATATTCGAAATACCTGGAATAATTTGAGTCATAATCGGAAGTCGGGACAACAACAAATACACAAAGTAGATCTTTCACAATAAATTCGTCACGTGTCAGCTATGCTGAACGCGACTATACGCGATTTTCTTTATAGCATTTGCATTTTCATGCAAATGTTTTGGCAATTCAAAGAACTCGTTCGGAGTATATACTTTCGCTTACACTGAAAAACAGCGAATTTGTTGCCGCCGGAAGTCCGTGTGTCGTTTTGGCCCGCCATACGTCGCGTCTACACGTCGGAGACGTACGCATTTTCAACACTGACATTTCGCAAGTATACCCATTTACATTCTGGAGCAAGTGTTTTCGTCATTGCGCACGTGTTTTTCCCGGTGTGGCATGCATCTGGACCCCGATACGCGAATACGCCGTGCGTATGAATGGAATTCAGAGAGCAGCTTGTACCTCTCGATAAACGTGCTTTTGTAAAATCTCGATCGAGCCTGCGATAATTTATAACGACAGAATTAATGGCACGTCGAATTCGCAAGACTCTTTTGCAACTGACCCCTTTTCGCGTATAGATATATTTATAGAAGTATGATAAATCTTCTGCGGCGTTACTTTAAACGTTTAAAAAAAAATTTTTAATTTTTAACAATGTCAAAATGTCAAAAGTGGGAGAAACTTTTATAAATTAAATTCTTAATACGTGTAAGTATCCATTTCCTATAGCATATTCGTAAGCTTTATCGTCGTCAAAGAAAAAAATGTTCGCGTATTATGCTCCTTGCATTCCTACCACTTTACTTAGCATTGAGTTAAGCTGAAGTGAAATGTCCGCTATAAATTAATATTTGTGATGAGTCATCACATTTGCCGAGCTGACGGAATTTCTCATCTCGTCTGAACCACTCAGCAACCCACTAATAGCAAATCATCTTTGAACGAACGTTTTGACGTTAATACAATATAATAATATTGGCTAATTATGGCTCAATTATTTAAAACGAAACAACAGTCTTTTTGACAATAAAGAATAACAATTTAATCGATCATTTCATTAATTTCCGTTAATTACTTGTCAAGTCTCGGTTTATCTTTGTCCAATGATATCCGATCGTAATCCGATCGTAATTACATGACAATTATATTACATTTTTACGATACGATAGCAAATATCGTTTTTTTTTTATGGGACATTTTAATGATCTAAGTTATTCGACCTGTTACGTGGAATTTTATGAATGAATACTTCGAAATTTATTGCACGGGCGAATTTTAGTGTTAAGCATCTGGCGAGTAGGTGGGAGTCCGGAGTTACATTTTACGGCGGGAATTATATCAGTGGACGACCGAGCCACTAACGTCAGTCTTTCCCCGTCGCTTATTCAGACCTGTCCAAACGAGACGACATCTCGGCATAGTTGTCATTGTTATTCGCAAAGTTAAATAAACTTCTTGAATTGCGTGCAATACGATGTCGCTTATGTGGATAAGTTATATAAAAACCAGAACAAAAAAGCGACACGTCAAAAGAAACCGTGAACTTTACAGATATGTACGCGAAAAGACTTAATTTAACCACATTATTATTAATATTTTTGAAATCATTATTAATATTTCTGAGATTATTAATTGAAATTTGAGTATAACTTTTATTTTTTTGTATATTTAAAATTGCACGTAATAAAAATTTCCTTAGATGGAAAGACTGTGGAAAGGACTTGTTAAAACGAAGTAACGAGAATATGTGAATTATTTCTAGATGAGAGACGACAGAAGAACATCGATGGAAGGTGAGAGACTTAGTGACAACAGCGGCGGAGGTGGTGGTGGTGGTGGTGGTGGTGGTGGTGGCGATGGTGGTGGCGGTGGCGGTGGCGGTGGCGGAGGCGGAATTATCGACGGAAATGGAAGTCGCCCGCTTTCTCAGACATCTAGCGAGATGGATACCCTTGGACCACTACAACCTGTCAAATATCGAGAAAAGGCAAAACTTCAGGTAACTACCTAAAATTAATAATTGTATAAAAATGCGACATAAGCAACGACGGTGAGAAAAAAATTGAAATGATTCTTTCAAAAAAGATTAATTTTTTTCTTAAAGAGATTACATTTAACTTAAACAGTTTAGGATCGCGATTCTATTTTCTTGATATGGAGAAAGTTTTGATTGATTCGTGTTGCTAGGATGCTAACGGATCAAAATTCAATGAAAAACAAATTTTACAGAGGCCACTTACGAGGTACCTTCCAATCAAATCGGAGTCCTTGGATCTAAGGCATCACATAGAAACTGCTGGACACCAATTGCCTCTGATTTATGATGTTACGGTCGACACGACAAGTTGCAGTGGTTATTTATCAAAAATGAGTAAAAAGTTTCACCATTGGAACAAGCGATGGTTTGTATTTGATCGCAAACGGAAGACATTGTCTTACTACAGCGACAACACGTCAAAAAAAGCCCGTGGCGTAATTTACTTCCAGGTAAGGGTCGGGATTTTCTTTATTAAGAATTTTAATACTGATATCAATTAATCAACATTAATGCATCGTAGTCGATCGAAGAAGTCTATGTGGATCATATGAACACCGTCCGATCGCCACAACCGTCTCTTACCTTCATTATCAAGACTACGTCTAGACTTTATCATCTCATGGCACCCAGTCCGGAAGCTATGCGTGTTTGGGTAGACGTTGTATTTACCGGGGCAGAGGGATATCATGAATTCGACCACGGCGTTTGATTCATAGTTATTTATAAAGTAAAACAAAATTTTCACGGTCCAGAACTTTTTGGCGAAACACGAGATTATAACAACTTCTGATTTTTAATAACTTTATAATTCATAAGGAATTATATCTAAAATGAGAACAATTTTCGATTATAAAAACAAAAAGAAATAATGCATAAAATGTGAAATATAAATTAGAAGTAAAGTATAAATATCCTCTTTAATTTATCTTGAAAATATTTAATAATTTTAATAATTGATATTATAATTATTATTATTCATTTTAATAATTATTTTAATATTTTTATATTATTACATAATATAGATATTTGCTATATTAACAAACATTAGAAAATTTTTTCCATATTAGATAATATTCCTTGAGAGAAAGCATTTCCATGTATTAATCTTTATAAGACACGAGCACGACAATATTGAACAAGAAAATAGAAACAGACGGGAGAATTGGGTTGCGAAAAGATTAGAAAGAAGCAGATTAAAAATGCGAGGCAGCTAAGCGCAGATTAAAAATGCGTAAACTATTTATATAACAAAAATAAAAGATACTTTAATTAAATATTATGAATTTAAATAATAATAAGCTTAAATTGTGTAAAGCTTATTATAGCTTATAATAATAAGCTATAATAAGCTTTACATAATTTTATTAATACAGTGGTAAATTCAAACTATTTTATGTAGTTTCGCTAGTATTTCTAATCGGCTTTCCTTTTAACTCGGAATCATCATTTCTTCGAGAATGCCATACGCTTATCTAAAAATGAAAGGATTTTGCAAGGAAAGAGCTGATAATACATCTGACAATAAATCAATTTGTTTATTTTAATTTAGAATAGGATTTTATAAAATGAGGTTCTTTGACCTATTTGTACTTTGCAAAAAGCAGTAGAGGTCTTGGTAAATACAAGATACATAAAATTATAATTGCTTCAGAATTTGAAGTGTATGTAATTTAAGATAATATTCTTGGTAATATATATTTCTTTAAAATTATTAAATTTTGTTCTATATTTTAAATACAAAGAATGCACAAATTTCATAAATTGTAAAAATAACTATATATGGTATTTTTGATAAAATAAATACAAATTAAAGCACGTTAATAAACAAATTTTAAAAATATAAATTTTATTGAGAGAAAACGTTTTATATATATACTGATAAGATATTTTATATTATTTTATGTATCAAAGTTATAGATCTTATTTTCGATAATCATCTATTATCACTTCAAGCACTGAACTATTCGACCTATTTGAAGAAATGGGCATTAATAATACGTCATGCGCAAGTATTAATCATTACCATCCAGATTAATTATAAATAAATCAATTTAAGTTTTTTATCAATTTAAGTAGATAAGTGTTATTAGGGTTTGTTAAATTTTATAGATACTTCTAATCTAGTCTTCCAGTGTATAAATACAAGAAAATTTGTGAAAAGTTATTGAAATAATTGAACAAATTATAATAAAAAGAAATTTTACGAAAATTTATATGCGTTCGAAAACTGGAGGGAAAAAAGCCAATATTTGTAAATATAACATACAATTGTGCCGTTACTTTACTGCGTGAGATTCATATTTTGATATCATGCCATACATATGCCAAGGATTAAATCGAATAAGACTTCTTAGTATTTTATAAGAGGTCCACATACATCTTAAGCTGAGACTTATTTTATATAATAAGTATTATAACAAAATTAAGACTCTTATTGTATTTTAATAACATTGCACATATTTAAATAAATATGCACTTCATTTAATTTAAAAGATTATGTAAAAGATGCATGAATAATCAGACAATATAATTATTCGAAAATTTAATAAAATCTGCTATACTGTTTAAGTGAAAAATATATATTTAAATCAATATAGCAATATTTAAAATTTTTCCTTGCATCCTGTCTAATCCCTAATATATATTGATTATATGTGTATATATATGTGTATATATATATATATATATATATATATATAATAAAATTTATGGCAAATAAATTTACTATTTGTTTTATTTTCTTTATTTTGACCCAGAGGAAAATTATGCGACGCGGGGCTTATTGACTTAATACGTCATTGGAGGCAGGCAGGTCATGTTGTGTCGCGTCGATTTTTCTTTCTTAAAAGGAATAGCTAAATGAATACAAGACACGTAAGAATGTTCCATCAAAAGTGCCGGCAGGGTTTGTATCCGTCCAGTAACGTAAAGAGATTTACAGTACCGGAAGAAAAAATACCATGGACAGTTGATTATCCCGATTACAAACCAGTCGCATATACCGCTACTGTTGTAAAAGGTAAACCTTGGGCTGATCCAGAAATCGACGAGCCCACCTTCGAACCAAAATGGAACACAGTGGATGGTAAACTAGCTTCTCTCTTTTATATTCGTCTCTTATATTTAACATAATTGTCACGAATTAAGAAAATGATGGAAAAGAAAAAAACAAACGAAAGAAATCACATTTCTGGGAGGTTATCAAATTTACATAAACTGAACTACAATATTCCGCACGCGAGGCAAGGTATTACATAGATTTGAAATCCAATTCTCGTTAGGCAAAGTAAATCGAAAGAGTTTTATGGGAAGAGATTACGTCGTGAACGCGGGTGGTCTTCCTTTGAATCCCGTGGGACGAACTGGTATCGTTGGACGAGGACTTCTCGGCCGATGGGGACCGAATCACGCCGCCGATCCTATTGTTACACGATGGAAACATGACAATGTGGGAACTGTGGAAGTAGATGAGCACACGAGGAAACCTATATTACAGTTTGTCGCGATACAGAGACGGGATTCTGGAGAGTGGGCTATACCGGGGGGTATGATTGATCCAAATGAGATGGTTTCCACCACTCTAATGAGGGAATTCATGGAGGAGGCGTTAAACTTTTCTGAAATGGATGACACCGAAAGAAAAACCTTACAAAATTCTATAAAGGAATTTTTCATTAAAGGCGACGAGATTTATAAAGGATATGTGGACGATCCACGAAATACAGATAATGCTTGGATGGAAACAGTGGCTATTAATTTTCATGATGAAAACAATGATGTCGTCGGGAAACTCGCGCTAAAAGCTGGAGACGACGCGAGTAATGTAAGATGGATGGACATAAATCAACATATAAATTTATATGCCAATCATAGCGAATTTATGAAAAAGACAGTGTTACAACGCAATGCGCATTGGTGAACGGTAGATTATAATAAACATTATAATAAATCATTTAGGAGTAGGATAATATTTATAAAACTATATAATTATAAAAATTATTTTTATATTATGTACAAATATGTTCTGCACTATGTACATAAGCACAAATCGCTAAACATCATTAGTCATTTATGCCAAATTATGGCATAAAAAATCTTATTAAATCTAATAAACGTCTTTAAAGATAAAATGAGATTTCTCAATGTAAGAACCGACGAAATCTAACGAAAATATGTAATCATATGTTATACTAAGACTTATCTACAATTCAAAAGTTTGTAAGTACGTCATCCAATTTTCCATACACAATTTTCCATACACCATCCAATTTTCAAATTTTAGTTGTCTCGTAGTATGTGTATTTTCATAATCTTTTTAATTGCGCATCACAGCATATTCAAACTTAAACATACGAATTATGTTATAAACATACGAATTAACATTATATGTAAATATAAAGTCATTGAAAAAGCCCTAATTTTAAATCACATCAATATGTATGTATATATACATGTATATACATAAAATGCGTTTTATATATATATGAAATGCATTTTATGATAATGCATAAAATTGTATATGTTAATAAATTTAACAAATAAAGAATTTTTAAGTGCTAAATATAGATAAAATAATGCTTCCTTTTTAAAAAGATATGAAAATATTACGGAAGAATTATTTGGACTTACAGAAAAATCCTGAGAACGTTATCATAAATTGAGCAAATATTTGCATCAACATTTATAACAAATATAATACGTATTCTTATAAAAATATTATTCATGCACACACACACACACACACACACACACACACACACACACACACACACAAAAATAAATAATAAATAAAT